TGTGTGTGTGTGTGTGTGTGTGTGTGTGTGTGTGTGAGTGTGTGTTTCATGTACTTTTGAAATGTTGGCGTGTGAACAGGACTTTTATTTTGGTACGGCGCTGTGACGTCATAAGGCAGCGTCGCGCTCCTGCATCTGTTGTGATCCGGCTGAAGAAAGGTTTGTTTTTTTACTGCGTTTAAATCACTGCAAACCGTCGAGTCTGTTTAATAGTTTTTGCAAGCGATGTAAATTTAATTAATTGTCAGCGCGCGCTGACAAAACCGTGTAAATACAACGAGATCAACAAACAAACGCGATTATGAATGAAACTTTTATGATTTTCTTGTGCCTGTTTATAGTGTTTTGTCTAATTATGGCCTGGTGTCACAGACAGGGCTTAGGTTAAGTCAGGATTAGGCCATAGTTCAATTATTTAAGTAGTTTTTATAAACGTGCCTTAGAACAAAAAAACATTATTGGTGGTGAGCTTCTTAAAACCATTGCAGGGACATATTTTAAGATCAGTCAGTGCAAGTTTCTTTCATTTGAAACAGCTCAGACTTACATTTTAGTCTGAGACTAGTCTTCAGCCTTGCCTGTGAAACCAGAGGTAGCCGAAGCCATTAACTATCACTCTGACTGACTCCCTCACCAGTGTGCTAACTACTGAACTAGAGCTGATTGAGACACACCCAGGGATTTAGTTTGTATTGATCTATCTTTAAATATTCTCATTTTAAACATGACAGCGTGTGGATCTCAGCAGGAGTTTTTCTGTGTGGTTGGACACACTATTATAAAGATGGCGTTTATTAAAGAGGAGAGTGAAGACGTGAAGATTGAAGACACTTTCAGAGTCAAACATGAAGATACTGAGGAACAAACAGGTTGGTTTTCATTCTCATTCGATGCTTATTAAAATGCCAAGCTTTACAGAAAAGTGCATTTATATTTTAAGCATATTCAAGGGTGTAAAATGCTTGAGAAATTTTACTTAATTACTTTTGGGGGTTTTGTATTTTACTGAAGTACAGTTTAAATGTAGACTTCTTGTTTGATTACATTTCTGAAGAAAAAAAAAACTTTTTACTCCTTACAATTAAATTTTAACTTGCTTTTTATTTTCTACCATCTTAAACATGTTAAATATGGTCAACAGAAGCTCAAACGTGTGCTTGACGTGCGAGAACCAATGATGATTGTGTTCAGGAATCGAAGGAAGCATATTGAAGTAGCAAAAAAAAAAGTAGCAAAGTCGCTTTAAAAAAATTTTTTTTTACTTTTGACCGTTTTATATAACCATTAGCTGTCTATGTAGTATTAAATGCACAAGATTGAATGGCAAAAAAAAGGCCCAGTGAATTCACATTAAATTATTATTTTGGTTGCAGTGCTTTTTCTTTTTTCTTTCTTTCTTTCATTCTTTAAATTAAATGTTACAATTCTTCAAAAATTGTTTAAATGAACACTGTACGTTAAATTAATTGTAAATCATGTTTAATGATGTTCTTAGAGGGGAGTGGATAAGTGGTATTATAATGACATATCGAGTAATAATTGTGAAGAAAATAACTAAAATATTTAAGTTAATTATTATTTCAGACGTGGGCATTGAATACACAACACAAAACTTGGCCTTTTCAAAAACTTTTAATTCTGTCACTTATTATTATTTCAAAACACATTCTTGTATTCTTTCTGCATGTTTCTGGCTTCTGCATCACATCTGGCTCATTAACGGGATAGTCCACCCAAAAATGAAATTTGCTCATCTTCAGATGAACACATATAAAGACTTAATGCAAGTGCATGAGAACACTTCAAAAACCACACAAATTGAATACGACCATAAAGTTTAAAATCAGGGGCAGCGCCAGAGAATTTTGTGCTAGATCATTGACGGGGAGCTGGGCAATTAATAGTAAATATGACCAAAACAGATTATTATTATTATGAATAAAATAAATCACCCACTCGATTTTGTAACATTTTATTACGATTATTTAACTCATCACACATTAATTAAAATTTTTCGTTTTATGAAATGAATCAAGTAGCCTAGATCAGTCAGTTGCCAAAGATTTTTTTAGTCCGCCTAGAATCCACTGAACAAGCATTTCGGCATGTGAGTCAAAGGCAATATGACATCAAAAAGCACTGGGGATATATTTACTTCGCTCTCTGTGTGTTGATGGCCAAATATGCCACACTGCTGTTTTGGGCATTGCCACAGCTGCTTCTCAGATATGTAGGAAACAAAGTGTCTCACACATAGACTGTATAAAAACATGGACGTACGTAGTGTCCGTGATGTCACCCGTAGATTTCCGAAGAGCGGTTTTGAAGCTCAAAAGTGGGCGGAGGCGGCCGTCGCCATCTTGGCAGTGCGTCACCGCGCGTCACTCCCGGATAATCGAAAATGGGCAAAGAGGCGGGAGCAGGTTGCTGAAACCACGCCCACCTAGCTCGACAGTGGTGGCAGCAGCGGCAATCCACCTGTCACTCAAGTGGCCACGCCCTTAATTATGCAGAACTTTAAGGCTTAATATAATTTAAACGGATGAGTTATAAAAAAAATTCACCCCCCTCACAGTTGTCATGAAGGGCAAAATTAGCTATATAGACCAAAATCAGTTTTTGAACCAGGCTGTAAACATGTTTTTTTCTGCTGTAAAGTTAGGCATTTTAACATGGGGAGTCTATGGGATTGACTCCCTTTTGCAGCCAGCCTCTAGCGGCCAGTCGATTAATTACAGTTTAAGTCACTTCCTTGTTGGCTTCACGAGAGAGAGCGGGAGGTTGCCGCTTGGTCTCACATGATCTTTCACATATGGAGAGGAGTAGGGCTGCTATACAGCGGTGCACTCTGGCGTCAATTTAGATCAATATGTGCTATATTTGTGCAGAAATAGCAGAAAAAAAACAGAAAAATTTGTGCTTTTATTTATGTACACTCCCAATAACACCAAAAGGTTGTGCTGTTGTAAAGTAGAGAAAATAAACAAGATGCGCTTTCTGCCGTCTCGTGCAGTCTCCGTGAAATGGAGTGCGTCACTGCAATGAATCTGCTACTTGTCAAACCCCATCTCATGACTGTGAGTTTCGATGGCAAGAATTTTTGTTTCCATTTAGCGTTTACTATTTATATGCAGAAACTTTGGCGTGCATATGATATGCAATTGGTAGGTTTAGGGTTGTGGGGTAGGTGCATATAACATATGCACGCCAAAAAAAGTGCGTATCATATGCACGCAAAAACGGAGTATTATATGCATGTCAAACACGTGCGTACCGTATGCACGCCAAAATCAGTTTCTGCGTAATTGTATTAAATCAGTATCACATTTACAAACTCCCTTAAAAATCATTAAAAGCTGTCACTCATCTTAGTTCATCTCGAGCTCACATCTCACAGTTCTTTATTTAAATAACAGAATTATTTTATCTTTGATACTACAGCAAAAACTAGTAGCATATAGGGATGTGACGATTCACGCAATGCGATGCGATTCACAATACTGATTTCACAATACAATTTTCTAGATAAAAGACAGGCGTGCATATGATATGCAATTGGTAGGTTTAGGGTTGTGGGGTAGGTGCATATAACATATGCACGCCAAAAAAAGTGCGTATCATATGCACGCAAAAACGGAGTATTATATGCATGTCAAACACGTGCGTACCGTATGCACGCCAAAATCAGTTTCTGCGTATACAGGGCTCTTATATTTCTTAAGTAGAATAAGAAATATAAGTTAGCAATCAAATGAAATCCGTATAATCAAAATTAATTTGTAATGAATGGGTAATCATGAATCACTGACTCACTAGATTCGTTTAAAAACGCCCGTTCGTTCAAGGCTCCGCTGTGTCTTTGTTTTAAACAGAAATATGTCAAATAATAAAACTAACTTGACATTTTTAAACAAATCCCAAATTAAATAATACAAATAAAATAAATCTCTTCATATAAACAAAGGCTTTGGCTGTGCTTTTTCCATTTAAAATCAGAGGCAACCACTGCATTTTAATCATGATCCAAACAAAGATGCTAAATACATGTTATTTAGATTGCAATTAGATTTTATAATTTCGAAATCTGAAGCAAAAACAATGGTCTGATTTTAGCTTTGTGAATGAGACTCAAATGTCACTCTCCGACAGCAGGTGGCGCTTATGGAACAGCAGGTATTTATAGGCTGCTGCCCCTTTAAGACCGAATGCACGGATCCAATATAATGATGCACTTGAGATTTCTTTAGCCACTGTTTACGTTCACTTAAGACATAACCGACTGTGTTTACGAGAATACTTGCCGAGACAGTTATTTTGAGATAATTTTGTGTGTATGTGTTCATTCAGCTGCAAGGATATGCGAAAGAGGAATAAATTCTGTGTACGCACATTGTCTGAAACGTGGCTCGCTGTGTGCACTTTGAATGAGTGTGAACGGTTTAAAACACTTGAATGTTTAAATCGGCAAGACTTCGAAACACGTGCAAACGATTAACTATGATCCGTTTTACCCCAACAAGCTAGCGAACAACGCAAATTGAGGAATTAATTTTATATCACTGTTCAAGATACATTTTGGTAGCCCGAATGGAAAACACAATAGCCCCGGGACGTCGGGCTAGCGATTTTGCGAGCCTTGGTACAGGTTCTGTACAGATTACTGAAAGGTGGAAAGTGTCATCAATCCAAACTTTTTCCCGTTACCCAGGATGAAGTATTGATCGTGTTGCTGTCTTTTCCTGTGTAATGAAAGTAGACTTGTTTTTAAGGGTCACCAGTGCCACTGGTGTGCCTCAGACTTCGCCACATTTGTTACACCGGATAACTTCCTAAAGTATATGGTTATGGTTTTCAGGATGAATAATGCTTCAGCTACTTTTCAGAGATCAATGCGGAAAGCATTATTAGCATAAACTTTTTTTCAGTTATTCCAAAGAATACAGTTAAAGGGGAAGCCAACACAAGAGATTATACAGTTCTGAAGCAAGAAACAAGTGGTTATCCCAACGATATACCAATTATTGATTATTATGTCTTTATATGCAAACAGCCATATGCTCTGATCTAACATCACTAGAGATGTAGCCACAATCAGATGTCAAAAGTAGTTAATTTGTAAGTTTAATAAGCACAGTTTATGTATTATGATGGGGCTTAAATCCTTAAATGTGAATTTCTCTGCAAAACTGGACATAGTTAATTAGATCCCTTTTTTCTGATATTTTAGACAAATGGTAGATTTGTCCTGGGCCAAACTGTGCTTGTTTTTGATAAAGGGTTTAATAACTGTGAGCATGAACGTTTTTGGGAGGTGTCCTAAACAAAGAAAAAGAGTTTACAATATTGATAAGAGTTTCTAAAATAATATGCATCACTTCCTTCAATTAGATTAGTGCAAATACTATCTAGCATACATGTTGGTTAAAGTAATAAGCCGCTTATTGCTTTTATAAAACGGTTATTCCATATATGTAGCAGTTTCACAAAATAAAACAAGACAAATAAAATGTTAATTGACCGGTCCCACTTTATATTAAGTGTCCCTAATACCTGTGTACTTGCATGTTACTAGATGTGTACATAGTATGTAACCACAGTGTAAGTACACATTGGTACATAGTAGCTACAGCTCTGATGTTTGTGTAACTACACATATGTAACAACCCACTGAATGGTATGTACAAATGTGTAACAGGACATTGGTAACAACACTTTCTGGTAATGAAAGTATAAATGTGTAACAGGACTAACAGCACTTTTTGGTAAAGAAAGTGTTAACACTTTATATTAGATTTATCATGTAATTACTCTGATGTTATACAGCAGCGGCCAGTAAGTTGGGCTTTACATATAAATTGTGGTTGGTGTCCAGAATGTTACACTTTATATTAAGTGGACAGTTCCTGAGGAGTTACCATGTAAGTACACTGGTATTACAGTGGTGCACCAACTCCAACTCGAGATCCAACTCCTCCCACTTTACATATCCCTAAACCTACCCATCTCCACCCCCTGGACCAAATTGTTCCAATTACTCTTATACATATTGCTGTTACAAAATGTAGTTATATATGTCCTGTTACACATGTGTACTTACACAAACCATTCGGAGGGTTGTTACAT